TCACTATGGTTTAAGAAAATGTGCCTTGCTGTGCTTGATATACACTGAGAGGCCAGATTATTATTATCTCTGAACGCATAATATGACCTCTCAGTGCATTTGTATCTCAAATGGGTACCAAAAGTATTCTAGAGTTTTGCTGGAGATCAACCACCTATTTGTCCTGAGGTTTCTATCAGCCAGTGCAAAGGGGAAAACTGATCAGGTGCACAATTTATAGGATCTTTGATATCAAATAAATGAGGTACTCAAGAGATGTACACTGAGTGGCCAGATTATTATGCGTTCAGAGATCATAATAATCTGGCCACTCAGGGTATATTCTGATGCCTTCAGCACTAGACCTAGGGATCAGAGATACAACTATTTCATCAATAGAAATGACTTACTTGTTCCTCTCCTACAATCACCTGGGTGGATAAATTGAAACAAACAATGACTACACTCAGATTCGTAAAACGAACGTTTATTAGGTGGGTGAGAGATGATAGTTAACAATAAATCAATGATAATATCTGCCTTTCCCCCTCACTTTGGCCCCAGGGTAGGATATAGTCATGTCATTCTTTCTTCTCCAGGTGATATGGGACCAGCAATGCATGTCTTGGCCATCACATTTCTTGGATTGTGGCTTAACTGCTGTTGCTATGGAGAAAGAGGAAGTGCAGAACTGGATCTCACCTGCCATTCGAATATGCAGATCACAATATATCAATTACAATAACCCCAGCCTGGTCTTCTTTTACTAGTCCATTGCTATACTTCTTTGTCAAAAATAGAGCGCTGTTCTTTATAGTTCTATGTTCCTTAGGTTGCTGCATGTGTATGGACTTACTCCTAGTCACACATTTACTCATTTACTTCTAAGGCCCACTTATTAGAAGTAAGCGTTGCTCAAAAGTTGGCTCAATTACTGTAGCTCGCTTACTAAAGAGAAGTTAAGTAGCACTAAAAACTAAATAATGTTTTGGGTTATCTTATAAAGAGTATGAGACAATAAAATTATTTAAGTCATTCACATGAAAGAGTATCCTGTTACGCCCAGACTTCATGATCCCCAAGGACCACCAGGGAGCCGAGTCCGATGCAATAAACAAAAGAGCCTGTACCATGCTAGCATGGGCTCCTCCCACCCACGCCGGCAGCCTGGCAGAAGAGAGAGCGAACTTCTCCCAGTCCAGGGGTTTTACTCCGGTCAGTGGTGATGTCACTGCCTCGGCTAACCCTGATTGGTTGGGTGAGGGCTAGGGATAACTCCGCCCTTCGGGGCAGAGTTGGGAGCTCATTCTCGCCCCGCCCTGCCCTCTCAATCCAACAAACTCAACATCTGAATCTAAATGTATGTGGCTTGGTTTGTATATTACCTTGTTCCAAAGCAAGATAGCTACAGTGACAATGTTTGGTAAAATACTGTCTAAAATAATGTATGTACATTTTTTTAGGAAAATGTTACTTAGTAAAATAGACATATTTCTTATCATTAAAATGTATGATATCTTTATTGTTATTAAGTACCACAGAGTCTAGACATGCTTGCAGTTCAATTTAATACATATGGTATAGGAGAGGACTGGGGACTGTCCAGCCCGTGAGCCCATGTAAGGCCCATGAAATCAGTTGGTTTAACCCTGCCAAGGCATTAGGGGTGAGTTAATTAAATGTTTGACCAAATATAGCAGGCCAATTCTTAAATTGATAATTTTGTATGGCCCACAAATGATGTTATAAATATCCAAATGCCCTTGGCAGAAAGAGGTTCCCCACCTCTAGTGTAGGAGTATGGGGAAAAGGAGAATGCTGACATCGTTCCCAGCTCCGAGGAACAGCTCTTGCCACTCCATTAGTATAAATTTACAACCCACATAATTATCATCATTTAATTGCAGCTTTTTCTTTGTTTAACATCATTTGAAGAATACATCAAAAGTAAACCATAAAAAAGAATTCTTCATTTTTAAATAGACTAATAATGTATATATCAAATAGAAATTGCATTATCTATACATGTATAGCATCTGTACATTATTATACTCCATACCATCATATTTAAAATACTATATTACACTTTTCAACCCTTTCTTTTATTTACAATGTGTGGCTATCTTACCTAAATGTAGATTATTATAAAAATAGCACTATATATACTCATGCATGTCTAAAATTTATACTGTGATGATTTGTTATAAATTTTGTTTTCAATTGACCTGTTTCTGTTAGTTTCTCAAAAACTCTAGTCATCAGATTATAACAAAATGTATGAGCACAGATACAAACATAATCATTCTCAAAATATAATTATGATCTTTTCTAGTAGCAATATGAGTGTTATTTTTAATTAAGGAATAATTTTTCTATATATTTTAAGTCTGTTATGTAACATGGTAGAAATATCTATTCTGTCACTCTGAAAATACATATTGCATATCCTGGAACTTAGCAACATTAATAAATGCTTAGCTACATCAAAAATATTTATGATTAGGAGTTTCAGATTAAGAGTAGCATTATAAGCATGTGCTTCCAGTTTTTACTTAAATATTATTTTACTTTGCACTACAAATATTATTCTTATTCTTAAACATCTCATTCCCTTGTTATCAACAGGACCTTTAACATAAGAATGCAAATGCTTTTTCATTCAAGAAAAGACCTGTAAGCTTTGAGGTTGTGTTTTTTCCTATCTATGACTTTAGTTGCTCTACTAACATTTTTATCAACATTTTATAAATCTTCTATCTAGCTAAGTTTATAATTCATCTTGATTTCTAAAGAACTGCATGCCTCTTCCCCCACATGAGTTGCAATTACATACATCTCTTGCATAAAAAATTAAATAATTTAGATTCTCTTTGAAAGACTATTTGGGAATTAAAACTATTGGCAACCAACGTTTTAAACAAAAAGTACTACTTTTTTTATATATATAAGTTTTTATTGTTCATATTATTACAAATGTTCCTTTCCCCCCCCCCCCCCATTGCTCTCCTCCACCAGGTTTCCACCCCACCCTCTGCCTTTTCCCCACTCCCCATTGTCCTCATCCACAGGTGCACAGTTTATGTTCAGTCTCTTCCCACATCCCCCTCTCCCCTTTTCCCCAAGAATCATCAGTTCACTCCCCTTCCATACCTCTGATTCTATTATATTCAACAGTTAATATTGTTCATCAGATTTTTTTTTAATTTCCTGGGTTTTTAGATTCACTTGTTGATAGTTACGTATTTGTTGTTCATAATTTTTATCTTTATTTACTTTCTCTTCTGAAAGAACCCCCTTCAGCAATTCATATAATTCTGGTTTGGTGTTGATGAACTCGGTTAGCTTTTTTTTTTATTAGTGAAGCTCTTTATCTGACCTTCGATTCTGAGTGATAGCTTTGCTGGATAGATTATCTTTGGCTATAGGTTCTTACTATTCATCACCTTGAATATTTCTTGCCATTCCCGTCTGGCCTGCATGGTTTCTGTTGAGAAATCAGCTCTTTTATAGGTAACTACCTTCTTTGCTCTTGCTGCTTTTAATATTCTCTTTGTCTTTTGCTCTAGGAATTTTAATTATGATGTGTCTTGGTGTGGTCCTCTTTGGATTCCTTTTGTTTGGAGTTCTGTGCACTTCCTGGACTTGTAAGTCTAATTCTTTCACCAGGTGGGGGAACTTTTCTGTCACTATTTCCTTCAGTATGTTTTTGACATCTTGCTCTCTCTCATCTTCTGGGACCCCCATAATTCTGATGTTGGTTCGCTTGAAGTTGTCCCAGAGGTTTCTTACATTATCTTCAATTTTCTGGATTCTCTTGCCTTCTAGCTTCTGTGGAGGAGTGTCTTCTGGTTCTTTATGTTCCAAATCTTTGTCTTGATTCTTGCGATCTTCCATTCTGTTTTTAGGACTCTGTATAATATTTTTTATTTCATACAATGTATTCTTTATTTCTTGTTGATCCCTTATCATTTCTTGTTGACTCCTTATTAATTCTAGTTGATCTCTTTTCATATCCTCATAGGTCTTATCCATCTTTTCTAGGAAATTCTTGAAAAACCTTATAAGCGTAGATTTGAACTCTATATCCAGTCGCTTTTTGTCCTCCATTTCTTTCGTTGGTGTTCTATTTCGTTGTCACATTTCGCAGTTACAGATAGGACGGGATTTCAGGGTGGAGCCTACAGCCTTGGCTTCCGTCAGCCCCACCTTATGCGGCTCCTGCCTCTCAGGGTCCTTCAGTACTCGCAGCAAAGCGCCTCTGAGAGATAGGAGCCCTCGATTTTCGCCTGCTGCCAAACAGTCTATGCTCTCCCCCACTGAGCCCGGTATTGGGATTCAGTTCAGTTGGAAGTGGAGTTGGAGGTGGCATTCAGAGCAGACTGGAGCCCCACTCTCCTTCCAGACAGGGCAATCCCGCGGTCGCAATGTGCGCACCGCCTAGACCTCCTTTCGCTGCTTCCCTGGGTTTCCGCCTTACAGCCCAGCTCCCTATGGATGAGCCTGGGTCCCCGGGGTCTGGCCTAGAACTGGGGTTCAGAGCAGTCAGAACTGGGGCCCAACACAGTCGGAGTTTTATCTCCTTCCCGCTAGGGAACGCCAGCCAGGCACTCGGCCTCCCTCCTCTCCGGCTCTGTCCTATCCGCGCACACCACGTGTCTCTGTACCTTGGGCTTTTACAGCTCCTCCGCGCTTCCTTCTGGTTTTCTCCTTGCTTCTCGTTGTAGAATTTCCAGTCAGTCAACTTTCCTGTAGTTCTGGGTAATGTCCATTTTATATTTTAGTTGTATTTTATTGAAATTGTTGTGTGCTGCTGCAGCTAGGTGTTTACCTGGGTGCAGCCATCTTGGATCCTCCAAAAGTACTACTTTTTAAATTGTTCTGGCTAACCACTTGTGAATCATCATCAAAGCAACCTGTTCTAAAAAAAACTTCAATTATGCGCAAAATACTTACAGGAACTCGGTAGAAAAAACAACAACCGTGGAAGTGAAAATCAATCTTCAAAGTTTCCTCTTAAGGTACTATCTTTGAAAAGACTCTGGGAAATCTGTCTGCAAAGGTATAACAGATTCTCTCTTCTCAGGGAGCTTTTGAGATGCCACAGTACCTTCAAGGCTGTCTGTCTTAGCTTGCTGTTTCCCAGAATCAAAAGAAATGAGTGACTTGAGGGAAAGACATAGACTAATAATGAGATAAATTTCACAACCATGTGTTTTGGAAACATAACAAATATCCAATTTACCACTTGTGTGGAAAAAAAATGAAGTATGAAGAGGAAGAGGAAAGACATCACCATTTTTATGGCCCTTTTATGGGCCTCTGTGCTGGAGTCCCTGGAGCCCATGGAGTTGAGCTGCAAATTTCTGATATGTCTTACCAGAGACAGAAATAAAAGGACCATTGAGGTCAGGGATAGAGCAATAGGAAACAAACAAGTCAAGCTAAGAAGAATCAGGGTTTCAAAATAGAGAGTCTTACTTTCTTCTATATACAAAGTCAGATTATTATCGTGTATATAGCTATTCAAGAATATGTCATTAAAGCTTTCTAACAATAGAAAGTCAAAAGCCAGAAAGATAAAAGAAAATACAAAAATTGCAAGAATCACTCTGTTCATTCTCCACTTCAGCCAGAGGAAAAGAGAGTGGGAGAAGTGAGCTATCTTAAGGAGGTAGAAAATGCTTAGGCAGGTAGCAAGCCAGGTAGTCAAGTGATTAGTTATTCTCCAAAGTAAAGTAATAGGTTTTGCTAGGTTATGACTGGAAAATAAATCTAAATATTGTTCCATTAAAAGTGATTCAAAAAGTAATACCAACAACTGACTAACTCTAGAGATAGCCAAGCAGGTAAAGATGAAGTCAGCTAAAGAGATGTTTTGGTTCTTGACCCATTCAGAGCAGTTTACCAGTCCAATGAACACGTTCCCCAACATTCCAATTAAGAATGCTGCTGTTGACAGTATCAGAAAGATTATTTCCAACCCAGTGGACATTTCCATAGCGGAAAAAAAATCCGAAGTTCTAATCCTATATCTGAGTGATAAATTTGTAATCAAACTGTTGCAGAATGGCATCCATTTCTGATCCTCATCTTCGTTGCTTTTGTTTGCAATTCCAGTTTTAAGGACAACCTCCTGCTGTTGGATACAGTCTCATAAATACTTAAGAAAATCCTTCTGCTTTCCTTGTAATCCCGACCTTAGTTGAGAAAGATCTGCTAAATATAAAGTCTCACATATGTTCACGAAATTGTTTTCCATTTCTTGAAAGAACTACTCATTTTCAAACCAAACAGTTTGTGTGTCCATTTATCATTGGCACAAATGGAAGTTTTCCACTCCCGGTAATGATGGAAAATGCTAAAGTCAAATATGTTAGCATGCAAATGTTGCCCAGATTCTTTTTCACTGATTTGTATTTTACTCTTTACCTGAAATACTATTCCATTTGGGTCCAAATATTTTAGTTGGTTTTCAAAGAAAGCTCTAGAGATAATCTAAATAATTTAGTTATTACTCAACTAATATGTTTTGTAAGTGTCTGTTATGCATTGAACCTTTTTCCAAATACAATATAGGTTACTACAAAAAAAAATTAGAAATTCCATAAAATAGTGAAAACACAGAAAGAAACAATAAGATCAAATGTGACCATAAAAAAGGTAACTACAAACATTACTCTCATGGAGAGAAAGGGAGATGAAATTCACCTTGGATTTTGAAGGTTCTTAGAATTTTATGAGGAAACTGGCAAATCATATTTTGGACTATCAAATAATATGCAAAAGGCATACTGCCCAGCTGGTGTGCTCAGTGGTTGAGGAACGATCTAAGAACCAGGAGGTCACTGTTTGATTCCCGGTCAGGGCATACGCCCAGGTTGCAGGCTCGATCCACAATGAGGGGTATATAGTAGGCAGCCGATCCATGATTCTCTCTCATCAATGTCTCTATTTCTCTCCCTTTTCCTTCCTCTCTCTGAAGTCAATAAAAATATATTTAATGGAAAACATACCAAATCACATACTACTTTTCTGAAATTAAAATATTCTAACTGATAATTTACTATAATTTCAACCTAAATGTTCATCAGGGTGTGGCTGAGTGGTTCAGTGGTAGAGCATTGACTTATGAACCAGGAGGTCATGGTTTGATTCCAGGTCAGGGCACATGCCTAGATTACGGTTTTGATCCCCAGTGTGGGAGGCAGGAGGCAGATAATCAATGATTCTCTCTCATCATTAATGTTTCTTTCAATATCTCTCTCCCTCTCCTTTCCTCTCTGAAATCAATAAAAATTTATTTTAAAAAATAAATAAATGTTCCTCAGGTAGCTCAGAGTAACATTTTCAAATTAAACACATTCCCCAGTTTTGCTCTTTACCTTTGTACTTGTTCGATTTGTTTTGGCCAGAGGCATAATGCTGTCACTTTAGCCTTAATAGACAGAAAATAGGTAGAAAATCCTTTCAGATTAAATAAAGAAGGTCTCATCACTGATGTTGCTATCTCTCTCTCCCTCTCCCTTCCTTTCTGAAATCAATAAAAATATACTTTATAAAAATAAGGCAATAGTAATCAAAAGTATCTGTTCTACATTCTAGGAACAATGATCTTGACAAAAAGCCATGAATGCATAGATGGACATGAAGTCAGAATTACATACTTTGTGTCTTGGTGTGTCAGCAAACAACTATTCTATTGTTAGTATTAAGTGTTCAAATGTTGCAAGACATCACCCAAAAATGATGTATGAAATCATCAAAAAACTTGGCCCTTTTCACTGTTTCTCAATTGAATTCTATTAATTAATTTTAAAAGTGTATATTTACATAATGTTTTCAACAATAAAGAATTATTTTTAAAGTGTATATTTCAAGAACAATTATGTGTAATGAACTATTAGTAAATTATTTCATATAAACAAAAATATTTTAATTTAGAATGCATATTTGAAATTATAGGAAGAAAATAAAAAGGGAAGGAAGGAAGGAAGGAAGGAAGGAAGGAAGGAAGGAAGGAAGGAAGGAAGGAAAGAAGGAATTTTTTAGAGACAAGCTGAATGAAATAACGAAATTTGGTAATATTTTTTAGAAGAAAATGAGCTTTGCCTATATAGATGTCTCTAGATGGAGAGAAAGTGGCTATGGGAAGCAGTTAGAACATATTACATTTGTCCATGGTGAACATTTCATGGTGTAAAATGCCCTGATGAACATTTAGGTTGAAATTATAGTAAATTATCAGTTAGAATATTTTAATTTCAGATAAGTAGTATGTGATTTGGTATGTTTTCTATTAAATATATTTTTATTGACTTCAGAGAGAATAGAATCAGTAAGGCTTGGTGATGGATTTGAGGGCTATAAAAAAGAAGAGAAACCAGCAATGACATTAAGGCTTCTTTTGCACTTGGATGCATGGAGTACTGTAACCTGAGGGACTCACTGGAGGGAGAGCAGGTTTAAAAGCCAAGGGATAAGAGAAAGAAAAAGAGTTGGAGAATGATCAGTTCTGCTTCAAGCATTTTTGGAATATCTGTAAAATACCCGAGTGAAAAGGTAGATTAGGCATTCGGGTATTTGTTATTGCACCTCAGGAAAAAAAATTTTGAACTTCAAGCAAAGATTTGATGATCTTCAGCACACACTTGATTTCATAGGAGGTGATGAGCTCTCAGGGTCTTGAGGAACACCAGTGGAGGAAGAAAAAGAAAAGACTGAAAAGCAGCTAGATGGAAGGGAGAAAACAAGAGACAAGGGTTTTGAAGCAGCCAAGAGCAAGGAGTGGTACAAAGAAAGAGTAATCAATACTTCCTGATTTTAATAAAAAGGACAATTACAAGGGAGTACTAAGGAGGCACTTCATCAAATAGCAAGAACAGTTTAACTGAAGCAAAGCCAAATTGCCATGGATTATATGTCAATGAGATCCCAATGACGATGCATTAGAAACCCAATTAATACAATAACACATTAACAGATTAAAGGAAAAACACCAGGGAAAAGAAATTTGCTACAATTCTATATCTATAATAACAAAAGTATAATATACTTATTAGACCGGACAGTATAACAACCTTCCAGACATCCTTCCTGACAACCTCCCAGATGAAGCTGTGGCAAGGCAGAGGGAGGTAGGGGCGATCAGGCAGGCAGGCAGAGTAGTTAGGGCAATCAGGCAGGCAAAGTAGTTAGGGGTATACAGGCAGACAGGCAGAGGCAGTTAGGGGCAATCAGGCAGGCAGGCAGGTGAGCGGTTAGGAGCCAATGGTCCTGGATTTTGAGAGGGATGTCCAACTGCTGGTTTAGGCCAGATCCCAGCAGTTGAACATTCCCCAAGAGGTCCCAGATTGCTAGAGGATGCAGGCTGGGCTGAGGGACACCTTCCCCCCTGTGTAAATTTCATGCACCAGGACTCTAGTCATAATAAATTGGAGTAGAATTAAATATTCTTTGCCTGATAAAAAATTGTCTATAAAATCTAGAACAGATTTATTATACCTATCTATGATACATTGAAAGTATTCCCCTTGAGGAAAATAACCCATAAACACCTAATAATATCTATTTATTAGATATTTTCACCAGTAAAGTAAGAAAATGACATAGAAGATATAAGATTATAAAGAGCAAAACAAAACTGTCATTATTCACAGGTTTTGAGTGAGATTACATAGAATATCCAAAAGTATTTTTAAATACATTAAAATATCATCATTTAGCAAGATCTCTATACATAAAATACATGTGTGCAAAAGTCTGTTTCATTTCTTACAGTTAAAATGAAATATTCTTTTAAAAGATGAAATTACATAACCTCAACAAATATTAAATATCTAAATTAAATCACACATAGAAATCATGCAAAACATGTATAGAGAATATTAAAAAGTCTGAAGTAGCCTTAGCATTTTTTAGTTATATGACTAATTATTTTATTAGTTTGTAATTAATATATACTGGATATGATCAAACCTTTTAGATTTTTTTAAAATTTTAGTCTTTTATCAAACACACTTTCCCATTTTAGTTGTATTATCTAAAGACATTAAATTTCTCCGACTGCTTTGTTGAATACAATAAATTTTCTACTTGATATGTAGATCATGGATTTGTCTCAAGTCTAAAAGCAACCATTTCTAATATAATAATGGGCATCCCTATCTCCATGAATACCAGCCCTGGTCGTTTCACCTGGTCCTGTCACCTGCTATTTTGTTTCTTTTTGCCATGGCTGTAGGCTCCAATTTTCCATGTGAGGCAATAGATGACAAGATAATCTCTTATTTGCTATTATGCAAACACAGACTGATATTTTCTCACTCTTTTTGCATTTTCTTTACCTAACAAATCTGTGCCTATATCTTTCGAATTGTGGAACATAATCAGTTAGAATTTGCAGATTGTAAATTTTATAAGTCAACCTAAATGTATCATCATCCAAGGATGTGAGGAAAATGTTGATCAGAAGATGATGGTCCATCTAAGAACAAGGTCCATGGCATGCCCTAAAATCAATCATTAAGCAGGGCTAGTTCACCATGGACAAATGTCCCTAATTGCACTAACCTATGGTTCTTAATCAGGAGAATCTATAACTGAAGTGTTACTAGAGTCAAGGTGTAAAATATGCACACTACTGTCTCCTCTGAAAGTCTCAGAACCAAACCCCAAAGGAAATGTAGTTTGACAGAACTTGCCATTCCTTTTTTTTTTTTTTTTTTAATTTTGTATTGATTTATTACAGAGAGGAAGGGAGAGGGATAGAGAGTTAGAAACATCGACGAGAAACACCGATCAGCTGCCTCCTGCACGCCCCCTACTGGGGATATACACGCAACAAGGTCCATGCCCCTGACTGGAATCGAACCCAGGACCCTTCAGCCCGCAGGCCAATGCTCTATTCACTGGGCAAACCAGTCAGGGTGAACTTGCCATTCTTATATTAGTATGAAGGATGTTTGTACTCATTAGCATGGTTCTTGTGAAGAT